TTAACAGGATTATTGCACAGGTAATTGCAACATACATTTCTCTCTGTTTTCCTATTATGCCTGTTATTATGTACAAACTTGCCTTGCCTTGCTTACGTAAGTAGCATAAAGTAATATGGAAATCGTAGTATATGTTGAATAAAACATGGTGTAATTCAGGGGTAGGCAACATCGGTCCTCGAGTTCCACTTTCCTGAAGCTTAGGAATGGTAAATGGCCTGTATTATATAGAGCTTTTTTCAAATCAGAGGACTTCACTCTACATTAAGTCATTCACCCATTCAAGCACACACTGATGACGGCAAGCTACATTGTAGCCACAGCTGACCTGGGTCTCACTGACAGAAGCAAGGCTGCCGTACACTGGTGGCACCGGGCCCACTGACCACCATCAGTAAGCAATGCCAGTGAAGTGTCTTTTCTCAAGGACACAACGACACTGAAAGCCGGAGCTTGAACCGTCAAAACTTTGATTTCAGTGCAAAATCCTACCACCGACACCACTGCCCCCTCACACCCTATTCCATGCGTCCCTTCTTCAATACACCTAAAACAAATGAAGGGTTAATGGCCAGGCCTCTGCTCAACTTACTGACATACCAAGGAGGTAATTTGGCCTTTTGTTTCAGGTGTGTTGGAGCATAGATGCATGGAAAAGCTGCAGGACATTGGTTAATCAACCGACTAATGTTGTCAGGTCCGTAATGATTTAGGTTTAAACCACATTTGCCTGTGGGAATTATTTTTGCTATAACAGTAATTAAGCAAAAGATAAGTTGACAGCCATTTGGATCCAAAGCATCTTATCCTTATGAATAAACATAAAAGTGCAAAGTACACTGACTGAGGTGGTATAGCAGTATGGAAGGCATCACTTTAAACATCAAGCAATGAGGTACTTATTAATTCCTGAAATGTTCTATAGAAATCTTTCTCTAATCTTGGGGAATTCTTCTGTCGGAGACTTAATCGCTGGAGAGATCTCTTCGTCTTTAATCAGAGCATTGAAAACACATGTATATCTACATGACCTTCGGAAGAATAAAGCTTATTACAAAATGCTCTAAAGCCATAACCTATCTGCTTGGATGGGGGTAAAATGACACCCTCTGATTGTAACATTCCTGAAACATGGTTCATACCTTTTTAACTGTAAGTATGATGATCACCAACAACTGGAGTAACAACAAACATAAACCTTAAAAATATGAGTTTATAATTAGAACTTAAATATATGTATTTTTTTATCATTCAGCAATACACATCTTGCCCCAAAAATATGATAAACAACACAGTGGACAACATTTGGAGTCTGGTGAGAGTTATTAATCTTGAGAAAACATCTTTTAATGAACTCTACTGCATTACTAGGAGCAAGAAACCTGTGCTTTGCTGATTTTCACCTTTATTTCAGGATAGCAGAGAAATGTAGGGAGCATCCCACTCCTCTTATTTTTAGATATGACTTTACTTGTTCATCCAAAATCTGCTAGGTTTGCCGATAGTAATCTGGGAAACACATTGTGTCTGCTCCTTGCCATAAGATTCCTTCTTTTTCTTTAGCCACATACAATATTAGTTCCTTACCCTGATAGCAGGGCACTTTAACCAGAACTAGCTGCTGCTGTCCTTTCGAGACACATACATCTCCGGTAGGGATGCACGATATTGGGATTTTGGCTGATATCCGATATGCCGATATTTTAAAACTCATGTAGCCGATAACTGATACCGATATTAAAGCTGGACAAAAATAAGTAGTCATTGAAAATAGCAGTTTTGTTATCCATTTCTGACACTTTGAAAAATAATATACTCAAATATATTTTCATATTCTGATATCAAATTGATTTTTAAAAACGTGGTATCGATCTATTTTACTTTCAAAATCTCGTGAAATTTCATTGTTCTGTTATAAACTCTCGTGATATTCTGCAAATTCTTGTGAGATTTTGTTAGTAAAATAGATCGATACCGCGTCAATATATCAACATATAAAAATATGGCAAAATTTTGTGAATTTTCCGGGGATTTTGTAGCATAACGATGACATATAGCAATATTTCATTATTAAAAGAGATTGATATGGTGTTTTAAATGGCAATATATCAGCATATGAAGATATTGTGATATTTTAATCTATCAATATTTTTCCCTCGTCTTTAGAAGTTTTTAAGTCTGTAAAAAAGAAGTTTTTTAGGAAGAAGAAGAAGTAGTTTTTTTTTATTTTTTATTTAGACTTTAGAAATTCAGAAGCTGATCAAATATCGGGTTAAATATCGGTGGGGTGGCCGATGTCCGATATTCAGTTTTAAGGCCGATACAGGCCGATATCGATAGGGGGCCGATTATATCGTGCATCCCTAATCTCCAGAGTGCGAAACTCCCAATCCAAGCCCCATATCATGAGTGACCAAAGTTGAAAAAACCCAACCTTTTTGTTTTCTTGACAATTAAGGAATACCTAATATCTTAATATTACACTCTAGTGAGCTTAATATTCCCCTTCTATTTGTTTGTCTTCTGGATAGACAAGTAAGAGCAGCTCCATCTCACTGCTGAGCCGAGTCCGACATGGTTTTTAGATGTGCAGTGAGCAGGTAGATCGCATCAGAGCGTCAGACCGAACATAGATCCTAAGCTGTGAACGCAGCTACTGCTCACACTGTACGACGAACCCACAGAGTTTCGCCGTACAGTGTGAGCAGTAGCTGCGTGCAGCGATTGAAAAAAATCATACAGTGTACGCCCGGCTTTACAAAGGCATCAATTTTCTGAGCATATGAATTTCCGAACTGAGTTTTTTAGATTTCTTTATTTTATTTAACTATTGCTTAAATAAATGTATAGTACATGGGAAATCTCTTTAGTAGGTTTACATTTCTTCATTGAACAATTCTCCATTATTGAATTGAAAAATTTTCCTGGAAGGGAAGCTTTACCTCTTCAAACTTGGAAACAAAGTCCAGTGGATTGTGTTTTAACCTTTTTGGAATTACTAGGACCTTGATGACTGAGAATCTTCACCAGAATCTTCATTCAACAGCCCCTTTTAATTTGCCTATTGCATGATACGAATAATACTGTTAATCAGGCTGAACTTCGGATGTATTTGCCTATTAGCCACAGTCATAAAAATGTACTTACATGCCAGGTAAGTGAAATTTTAAACTTAAAACTTTGTTTTGTCTGCCCCAGTGTGTCCATCACTGATTCCCTTAAATTCGGCATACACTGTGAGAGTTTTAGTGGTTTTGACATGATTTTTCAGTTGTGAGACCAGTTTGGGGATTGGTTCAACTCTTGGCCAAATCGTGTGTGATGCGTTCTGCGGTATACATGGGGTTCACAAGAGGTGACTGGCACCTCATAAAGCTCCTGATAAGAAACTGTGGGCCTCAAGAAAATCAAACCTGTTTGATATTTTGTTCATGGCTCGTGAGTGAATTACATGTTGAAGTGGTGATACGACCAGACTGAGAACTCTTTCCTCTGAGATTTTCAGATTATGCATGCTTAAAAATAAAACTGCCATTTTTTCTTCTTCTTCTGTTACTAGATACCTCTATTTACTGTGTTGCATGTTGGTATTGTTTAAAACTCCAACCTGTCTTTAAGGATGTACAGTGTGAGTACTCAAGTCCAATCTGAGCGTTGCTTCATACACTGTGAGGACATGCATCACAAGCTGGAAACTTTTAAACTCTGCGATTGATCCTCAAAATTTAAATTGAGGCTTGAGCAACAAAAGAAATATTGCAGTGTATACCTGCCCTTATATTGCCCAACTATACCCTTTCGAACTTTATGCAGTATGCTGCCTGGTCTAATGTTTACTTTTGTTAAAAGGATCCCAATATTAAAGTCAGTGTTTATGAAGTCAGATAAGGTTAAATAAAGCTTAATTTAAAATGAGATAGTAACTGAAAGTGAAATTATTTCTGCCTTTTTATTCAAAAGATGAAATCATAATATTTGTAATGACTATAAAATCATTACAAATGTTATCACATTCGTCAAGGCATTTTCTTTAATCTTATTTTTATTGTTCATTGCTTTGAAAACCCCAATATGAGCCAGAATTAAAATTTTAAGGGATAAAAGCAAAAGAATGGCTGTTAACAGATAGGTACATTCAAGCATACCAACAAACAACAAACTTTGCGGGAGTGGAAGGAAAAAGTCTAACAGCCACCATGAACTCTGAATTAAACCAATGCAGTAATTTATGGAAATAGATCACCTACCAAGGGTTAAGAACAGTATATGGAGGTCTGTTTCTAGAAATCAGTGAAGTCAAACAATATTTGGCTGTTTTTTTTTATTAATTTAACAGCAAAAAACAAACAAACAAACAAAAAAAAAAACCTGTCAACCTCTGAGGTGGAAATCTGAACACACCGGAACAACCACGATTGGTTAGTCCTACGCACATTTCCTTTAACTCTTTTAAATCATATAATCTACATTATCAAACAAGATCAAGAACAAATAATCTACATTAGAAAATCAAGCACACCAATTTCAAAATGATCCACTGAAATGATCAACTGCAATGTCTCTCTGCAAAAGAAAAGGAAATGCTTGAAAAGCAAACTGCAGCAATGTCCCAGACCACTTAACATATCATGTTGTGCTCTAAATTGTTTGGTATGAGAGCTTTGACGTGCTGTTAGCAAGTTGGTGCTTGGTAAATGGTAAAATCAAGTCCCACGAGTGGATCATTTACACTTTCAGAGAGCAGTTTTCTCCAAAACAGCTTGACAACAAACACAGACAGTTCGGCAGTTCAGTACTTCAGAGAGGAGCGATGTTCAAACTGAAAGTCTGAAAAAAGCCTAAGGCATTCTGTGCTCCCTAAGGAGACAGTCCTGTTCCTGGCATGGTTGAAGTTTTTTTCTCTTTCAAGGGGAAAGTGCAGAAATGGCTGTATCCTTCCACTCATTCATAAGTTCCAACTTAATACTGCAATGCAAGAGTTAGAAATGTAGATAACTCACCTAGAGGTTGTCCTGCAATGATGCGAGCGTTTTCTCCTGCAACAGCTGCCCGGGCGTTCCTTTCATTCAAGTACTGTACAAATGCATAACCTTTATGCACAGAGCAACCCACTATCTTGCCGTACTTGGCGAAGATGACCTCTATGTCGGTCTTCTTAACGATGGCTGTGTTGAGGTTCCCGATGAAAACTCTGGAGTTGAGGGAACGTGGATCATTCTTATTGGTCACGTTGCTGGTCTGGGTTTTACCAGTCATTCTCCTCCGGTTGCCCTCCTGGGACACAGAGTAAGGAAGGAACGGAAGGGAAGAACTTTAGTGGCTGGACAGGTCAGCTCCGGCTTATTCTGCTCCTGAGAAAAATACGCCAAAGGATTTAATTCTGAACAGAACAAGGCATAAATCTTAGAATAAAATGGCCAAGTATGTGCCAAATGAATTTAGTAGTAATAAAATGTTTATTATTATTTATCATTATTCAATCAAAACATTGCTTTTTCAGGGTATTTTTAATGGCAGTTGCACAAATGGACTCTTTTAGACTTGTCAAACTTCGGTTTAGTAAAAACTGCTAAAAGTGTTATCTGTTTTTAAGTTCCTAGGGGAAACACACACATGTAGGTTTCTTGAATAAAATTTAGACTCATTCTAGAAATTCAATGTTAAGTCCTGGAACAGCAACAAATTAACCAGTGTTATATTGGCAGGTTAAAAAATTGGTAGAAATTCCCAACTTTATGTTCAAAAGGGGTTTCTGCAGACACAAGAGATATTGGAAGTTTTGGACTTTTAACGTTTAATATTAAATAAGTTAAGAAGAAAACATATCTTCACTAAAGCTAATGTATTTCTGTTAAATGAAACACACACCTAGTTCTCTTAGCAACTGTCCAGTGTAGGAAAAACAAAATAAATTGCAGTGATGATTTAGAGAAGCAAATGTAGTGAATTTTGTCAATCAGGAAACAGGTTGAACAAATTACTAGTTGGAATGTTTACATTATTACAGTTAGAGCAATAACCGGAACTGTGGCAGGCTGGATAAACCAAAGAGTTAACCTTACACTACTATCATGAAGAGGATGGTTAGGGTCTTTAAAAAATGGTTGGGAACCTGATTCAATCTTATAATTTCATACTTGTCCCAATTCAAAGTTTATGGTCACAATTATTCTTCTTAATATTCCAAATATGTCTACTGAACGATGGAATCTCCAAAAAAAGCATGGACTGCAGATGGATGGATTTAATTCAATTTCAATTCAGTTAATCACAACAACATGTAATTTCAAGACACTTTACAGAGATAATTCAACCAGATCATACAGTCAGTTTGGTTCAAAGTTTTCTATCTAAGGAAAACCAGCTAATTGCATCGACTCATTGGCTCAAAGGCAATCCCTCACAGTAAGCATGCTTGTAGCGACGGTGGAGAGAAAAACTCCTTCTTAACAGGAGGAAATCTCCAGCAGAACCAGGCATTGATGGATGGATGGATGGATGGATGGATGGATGGATGGATGGATGGATGGATGGATGGATGGAAGGATGGATGGATGGATGGATGGATGNATGGATGGATGGATGGATGGAAGGATGGATGGATGGATGGATGGATGGATGGATGGATGGATGGATGGATGGATGGATGGATGGATGGATGGATGGATGAATCTTTTGAACCATCAAATAGGAAATGAAACACTAAAGAAAAGCTTTTTTGATATTCTTTTTTTTTATTTAGTGAAACCTGGAAAATTTTTCAAATTCTAGAGTTTTCCTGCTGAAAAACCTTTAAAAACAACATTTAACTTTACCTGTTAAAGGACAGCATACAAAATGAGCATAAAAAATAAAAAGCATCCTAGGCTAACCCAGCCTCCATCATAAGAATGTACTTTCTGTCACTTGTCCACAACCTTTAGAGAGGAAGCAACAGTTGTTGAGAAATGTTAATTAATAATCTAGGCTATAGCTATGCCTCCAGACTCTATTCTAATGATTCTTTAAATTTCATCTGTGTAGCATAAAACAGCCTGTGACTTCATGACACATGGTGAGTATTTTGCCTGAATCTAAATTAAGTTAGATGCACTCTTGCTGAAACAGGCTGTTGTTAAAGATCCACTTTAGTTTCTGTAAATAATGTAAAGTGACACACGAGGTCATCGAGCAGTCAACTGTTTACCCATGCAACAGCATTTTTGCAATGTTGAAATATTCTTACTGAGTGACTGAGCATAACACAAGATCGAGCAACAATATGTGAATGTCATGGCAGATATTTTTGCTTTGTGAGAAACCAAACACAGCAGCCGCCAGTTCGAAAGATTTCCCGTTTCAATACATTTATTGTTGTGTCCTTTCATTGAGTGCGAAATGAGGAGGTTGTAATTTGTGGAGCGGTTTTATTCAGCCTGTCTGTATGTGTCAGGTCTGCGGCAAACATCATTTTCAGCTTTTGTGCCAGTCTGTAGCAATTCTTTTTATTTTTCTTTAGTTTATTTACAGCATGAATGTTGTCTTTTATAAGAGTGGAGGAGCTGAAAGATCAGAAAACAACTATTTAAATCCATGGAAAAGATGCAACCTTAGTGTAGTATCTTTGCCAACTATCAAACAAAAAGGTGAATGGACACAAGACATTCTCAGTTGTTTGATTCTGTGTTAAATCCAGGTTTTCATGGCAGTCTGTGTTCCCTAAATAGATTACCTTTAGTGAATTAATTACTGAGAAGTGGTGTTGGGAAAACACCAGATATTCAATATTTACCTGCTATGAGTCTCTGTCCCTGACACAGGGTGATAACAACTACTCACCGTTGAGACTGAGAACCAAAATAATGGATCCAATCCTCAGTAAATAGGATTAGTTACCAAGGAAACACTGATGTTGGAATATCATGCTCACACACAGACACACATTTCTCATACTCGCTGTCTTTCTTCCATTATTGCACACAGTCTTTATGGTAAAATGGTTGTTGGTTTACATAACCTGGAAAGATTAAACAAATACATTTTTCCCTAAGAGGTGCATACATTTTATTTTTGATGGACATCCTAATATTAGATTGCTTTGGTACTACAGAAGGGAAATATACTTTCTAGGTGCATTCAACAAGAAAGACCATCTAAGAGGTGGTCCACACCCCACACCTGTGATATTTTTAAGCTGAACATCAGCCTTTTAACTGTTGTTATGTCATATAATCTTAAAAACAAAAAACAAAACAAAACAAAAAATGCTGACATGGTGCCACAAATATATGGAGAATGCACTTGCGGGTTGATTAGCAGAGTTGAGTTCCTGGCTTGCGCCCATGAACACCTTGCCAAATCCTCTCTGCCAATTTTGATTATATTTAATAAAGGAGAAAACAATGTCAAAACAAACCTGGCCCCATTGTGCGAAAGTAATTACCCCTTTTATAAAAAACTAAATTGTAGCTGCGATTAACAGCATTTTTTGGAAAGATGTGTATGATTTTATCAGCAAATTTACCATATGGTCTGATTGCTCTCACACCTGCAAATCATCATATCACCTTCTTAATGCCTCAATGATAACAGGAAGTATGCTACTTTATCTAAAATTGGTCAGTCTAATTTAAGGAATTCAAAATTGCACATTAAAAGCACAAAGCCTTTGACAACAATGAGCCATGAGCAAGGCTTGGACTCCAGTAAACCACAGTAAACCATTGTACAAATGGACTTTAGCACAAATTAACTTTAGTTTGCTGCACAAGTACAGAAACACTTAAAGGTATTTAAGCATCATGATAGATGATGTGGGGCTGGAGATCTTGAAGAATTAATTCTGCTCTCTGCTAGAAAAACTGAAAGAGCTTAATGACATTAAGCTTAAGAACAAATTCCAGCAAAGTAAACCAGTCAAATTCTGAATTTATGAATTCAAAATAAATATTTTGTAGAGGCTTAGGAAAACCCTGGATTTAACCCAAACAAAGATGCAGTGAGATACCCTTAAACATGGCAAATTTCTGTTTAAAGTTTAAGTTGAATTGCTAATTATTACTAAAAGGGAATGGAACAATAGATTCACACATTTATGGTTCTTTATATTGCCACTAATTGAAGTTAAAAGAAAATTCAACACATAAACGTACTGACCCATCTGCATCATAATTCTATCTTATTATGCTTAAACTTTAGAGACAATGGAACTTGAAGAACTGCTTGGAAGCTGAAAGAACTGACCTTTTTAGTGGGCTAAGACAAGAGAACCAGTTCTTACTAAAGAGGCAAAATTCCTGTTATCAAAGCAAAGCAATTATGGTAAATAGATAATAGATATAAGCTGTTGTTACCAAAGGTTAGACAACTAGTTATAAGGCTTGGCAAGCAAGTATTCATCAATATAGGGCCAGATTGGTTTGGATAGTGTTAATGTCTTAATAATTGAAAATCCAAATTAGAAATCAAACCCTGATATGCATTGCTACGATCATATGTAAGCAATGAGCAACCCCTTAGTACAGCTTTACCTGCCTCATTAGGCTTCCAACCAACCCATCCAAAGAAAATGCCTTCAAACTGTATAACTTTAATTTCTTTAAATTTTTTTTCTTTACATGTATGAAAACAGAAGCAAAGCATCACTAGATAACTGGCTGCTGCAGATGTTTTTCTGCACAACAATATGCCTGAATGATGATTCATGTTTAAAATGCTGCTCCAGTTTGTCGTTTCTCTGTGTGGGTAGGCATCTGTGGAGGGAACCAGTGCTGCTTCCAGTCTATCAAATGGCCTTGATGCTTATCTGCAACTGACGTCAAAAATTAATGTGCTTGCAGGTGTAGCGACATACAGTACATGCTCCCCCATCATCCCATGGTGGTTCAAAATGGCAGTCTGACACCATCTTCAAATTAATGTTCACAGGTAGGTCACAGGGAACATGACAAATCAGAGGAGAAGCATTAGATTGCTTCTGTTATAGGATAAATCAGGAGAGGGTACTGGTCACTGGAGTATTTTACAGTTTAGTACCTCATGTCAGCCTCTCTTTTGTTTTCTTATGGGAAGGACACTAAAGTATTCCATCCATGGTTCTCCATCTGATCTTGCTTTTTTCTAAACTAAATTTACAACCTTTATTAAACTTCTCCTCCTCTGACATGATTGCACCACATTGAGAAAATTGGGAGATGCATTGTAGAACAATTCTAAAAAACTCTATTAAATGCACTCTAGAAGAAACCCCAACTACATCCCAGAATTGTGCATCTCCATTAACTTTCTTTAAAGCG